CACGTTGACCTTCACTATCGTGTGTGTATATAATATATATTGAAATTTCTTGATTTTCTTTATTTGTTTTTTTTTTCCACACATAGGACCCGCAGGACCAGGCGGACAGACAAGCAGACCAGAGGACCAGAGGACCAGGGGACCACAAGACCAGGGGACCACGGGACCAGGGGACCACGGACCACGGCCAGAGGACCACGTGACCAGAGGACCACGGGACCAGAGGACCACGGGACCAGAGGACCACGGGACCAGAGGACCACGCAGGTGGGCCGGATGGCTTTTTTTGTTTTATCCTTATTTTTTTTATTGATCCCTATTATTTTTCTTTTTGATGCTTATTATTTCTTTTGATGCCTATGCCATTATATAGGGGTTAGGGGTTAGGGTTTAGGGTCTAGGGTTCAGGGTTTAGAATTTAGGGATAGGCTAGGGTTTAGGTTTGCCAGGAAAGTTTGGGCAGAGGCTTGGCTTGGGTCAAGGAGCTGTCGCATACGTTTCAGGAGTGCTGCGACACGAAAGCTAAGTCCCAAAGCCGATTGTTAAGCTTGCGGTGGGTTTACGGCTCTGGGTTTATCAGGCCGACCAGGCACCGAACTGCAGCGGCGCCGAATGGAGGAAGTGCAGGGGGTTCCCGCTCTTCACCTCGGGGATCCGTTTTGCAGGGCTTATCCCAACAGCCCTTTTGGGTTCTGGGCTCAGGTGTCTCCGAGGCAGGAGGTTAGGAGTTTTGCTTAGGGGCTTAGGGGTTTTAAGGGCTTTGTGAGTTGCCGCTTGGCAGCCCAATTGAGGTAGCACGACTTGGCGGAGCCATAACCTCGGATCTGTGGAGCTCAAAGGCGTGAGGGCTCTGGATGTTCGGCTTTATCGTGAAACAGCGATCACGGTTCCTACCCTGCAGAACGAGTGCAAAAGCGGAGGATGGTTTTGGCCCAATATTGGGATTCCCAAGAAACTCAGGCGCTCGTCGATCTCCCGGAGCCCGGGCCGGGCCCCGGTGCGCCCCAGCTCGTGCCAGAGCATCAGCTCCTCGGATGGTGCCGGCTTGCGCTCCAGGACGTCTACGTGGCTCTTATTGAGAGCTCGTGAGCTCAGGGGGCTCAGGGGTATTCAGGGTTGAAGTCAGACACACAGCCGACGCACGTCCTGCTTTCCTCATGTGCTCAAGCATTGACAGCTAGCCCACACCAAGGCCAACAACTTCCTAAAACTCCAAAGTATCTGGGACCCCGGCCGAAGAAAAAGACCGATAACTGATAGCTCCTCGCCGAGCCCGAAAGCCTCCCCTGAAGGTCAACCTCCAAGGTCATGCCCAAAGCTCCAGCCAGAAGGAGTCCGTGGACACGTCGACCTCGTCCAGCCTTTTCCTCGGCTCTGTTTTGATCAGCACCCCGGAATCCAAGAAGGGGGCTCTCTCTGTTTCCTTTGCCACCCAGCAAAAGAAGAGAACAAGGGCGGCACCAACACAAAAGCCCGAGTTTCTGCAGCGACACCAGCTCCCCCCGCAGCTGCGCCACCTGCTGTGGGCTCGGGGACATGCCGGGCCTTGGATCCCTTGGGCTCCTGGTTTTTTTTTGGATTGGGGTTTTGGGGTTTGGGGTTTGGGGGTTGGGGTTTGGGGTTGGGGGTTTGGGGTTTAGGGTTTCGGGTTGAGTTTAAGTTTGCGTTTTGAGGTTTAAGTCACGCGGGCTTTGCAAAGCCACAAGCAAGAATCCAGCTGAACAAATCCCCCACCAAAAGCTCCAACCAGCTCATGGCACCAAAACCGAATCCTAAATCCTAAACCTCAAACAAGAACCCACCCAAAAACTACAACAAGCAAGATGGCGGCAAAGCCCGCCACCCAACCTCTGTCGACTTTGAAGCCCGAACCCTCAATGTCCCTCAACGTCCCTCAGCCCCCTGTTGGACCGCACCTTCTTTCCAGCGCCGCCGTCTCCGTCGCCCGGCTTCTTCGCCTGCGCCTCCTCGCGCGCAGCCTCCAGGAGTTGGTCCAGCTCCTCTTGCTGAGGCTTGGGGGCTTTCGGGTTTCGGATGGGGCGTTTCAAGCTTGAGGTTCAAACTTGAGGTTTAGGGCGGTTTAAGGTTTAAGTCTCGGGGCTGCTGGGGCTGCATTCCTGAGCTCAGAGAGCCTCTAAAAACCCCCACACCTAAACCCCACAACCTTAAATCCCTGAAACCTAGAGAAGGGCCGGGCTTGTAGGGGATTTACAGACGGAGTCGATCGGAAGGCACAAGTCCCCCCCCCCTCCAAAAAAAAGAAAAGAAAGAGGACGATTACTAGCTATGACTACAGCTGCCCTACAGCTGAATCAACTGAAAGAGCCTCTACCTACATTTTGCCATGAACTTCCATGAACCTCCGAGTAAGGGAGGGTTGTCGCTCCTTGCGAAGGCAGAGCTTGCGTTCCAGTAGTGGCGCACGCTTCGCCTGCTTCCAGTCGTTGAGGCAGGCCCCAAACTCCACGATGAGGCTGATGTCCTTGGAGGGCTTTCCCTAGAGCAATCTGTAAAAGAAACAGAGCTTCGAATATCGTTAGGACAACTCCAGGTCGCCGTTTGGTCTGGAAGTTGGCTTTGTTGGGAGGACGTGCGTGACATGGTGTCTGACGTTGCGAGGAGTGCACACGGCTTGAGGTTTAGGGCTGCTAAGAAAGTTCAAACTCTGTGCTCAAATGTTAGCTGAGTGTCTCCCGTCAAGACCAGCTGCGAAAAGGTCCGCAAGAGGGGATGCGGCGGGGCCCGCTGTCGCTCGTGGCGCAGCCGTGCAATTTCTCGGTCCAAGCCGTCCACACTGCTCTCGAGCTTACGACGCTCCTCGGGCTCCAGGTATCCCTGTCCTTGGTCGCACTTTGGAATCCTCTCTCAAAAACCACGAACGCACTTCTTTTTGGCCGCTTACTGGCTAAAAAACAGATACTGCAAGGGCCGAGCGTCCTCGACCCAAGCATCGCACTTTGTCCTGGATCAGCACGGTGAGTTGCTGGTGGCTCTGCGCCACAGGGAAGAGCCTCTCTCTTCATTCGTATGTGTATGGGGTTTTCTGGGACGGCTTAGGGGTCTAGGGCCGAGGGCCTAGGGGCTTAGGGTTCGTTGACATGTTGCCTAATAAGAGGAAGCAGCACAATGAGCACCCAAACGCCCGCCTGCCGAGCAGGCCCTCTGAGGAGGAGCCTTGCGCCCCCAGCTCTGCGAAAACCCGCTGCGCCAAGGCGCCGTAGCTCTCGCCGCTTGGGCGTCTTGGCAGGCTTTGGCCTGCATGTGTAGCTAAATGGCACTCACCATTGACAAAAAGTACCTGTACAAGTCGATGTTTATTTTAAGGCTCACGGAAATTGCTGCAGCATCGTTGCAACATATCCTGGCCTTGGCCGGCAGGCGCCTGGATTGCCTCGACGAACTGCGCGCAGCGCTGCTGCAGCACGGGCAGGGGCGGGAACTTCTTCCTGGATTGAGCTGCCATGGATAAGGCCTCCTCCAGCGAGGGCGTCTCGGTGCCGCCTTCGATGGCGCGGCTCTTCCGGAGGGACTTCACTTCGTTCGTGAGCTCTGTGGGCCCCAAGCTGGCGAGCATGGGGACGAGCCAGACCAGAACGCTCGGAGGGCTCTGCGAAGCGCCAGCAAGACCACGGCGCACGGCCTCGACGCAGCTGTTCACGCGCCGCTGCTCCGACGGCCCGTGCTCGTCCTCCGCATCGCGGAGCAGCAGCAGAACCGAGCTGTCGTCCTCTGAGCCTCTGGCAGCAGCCAGCAGATCCAAGAGCTGCCGCAGTTTGGGTGTGGGCTCCGTGTCCTCGAAGTCGGCCCTCAGCGAGCAGTGCAGCAGCGTCGATGTGGCGAAGCTGTACAGCGTGGCGGTCAAGGCTCTGCAGAGGTCGTTTCCAGCATCGAAGCAGTGAACGTCGGCCAGGGTCACACCCCGCATGCACTCCTCGCGCGCGAAGTCCTGGGTCATTGACAGGAAACCAAACCGAAATTGGCTCAAGCAACTCCGCCCCTCCTCAATAAGACACCTCAAGTCCGGCAGCCTAAGCCCCCAAAGCCCCTGAAAGCCCCCCCTAAAAGCCCCCCAAAAGCCCCCGAACACCCTGAAGCCAAAAGGCCCTAAACCTTTCGAGCTTCCCCGATGAGATCGATGGAGGGCATCGTGTGGATGCGCAGGGGGTTCGGCGCCGTGCTGCGGAAGTGGCACTCCTGCAGTGCGTAGAGGTACCTCCGCAAGATCTTGAGGGTTCAGGGGTCCGTAGGACTTTAGGGGATTCCGGCATTCCGGGGTACTCAGGCTTCAAAGGGATCAGTTCGGGGAGTTGTATGGGCTTTGGGACGTTTTGCATGCTCCTTTTTTCGCTGCTAGAGACTCTGCTCCGCCCCCCAAGGTGCTGCAGGAGATAGGACTTGCCCAGCGCAGCGTCGGTTCCCACGGACAGCACAAGGGGATAGGAAGGGCTGCAGAAGAGCCTTAGGTGACAGGGGGGGATGCTCTGGGATCGGAGGAAGAGCTCCAGGGCTCGAAACTGGCCACAAAGCGCACGCCGAAGTGAGAAGATGTCTCTTGCTGCATAAGAACGGCTTGGGGTGGGGGCCAAGAATTTCGCTCAGCTCCCAGTGATCTACTAAAGGGCCTCATAATTTCATATTAAATTTCTAGCCCTTATTGTCTTTTTCCTTTCGGAAAACTTTATTATATTTTTAGTATTATTCCTGCGGGCAAGATATTAATTACAAAATGGCCCGCGTGAATGGGCGAATTAGACAAGAAATTAGTATTCTATTCGCGCCTGTAATTCTATAATTATTACCTTTCCTTATAAACTTTTGGGTTTTTAATAGTATTCATAAGCTTCTCTGGGGGCTACAACATTATATTTACAAAAGCCCCCATAAAACATTGTAAGTAAACTCGCGAGTCAACGGCCCACATCATAAGTCCTGTAAAATACGCTCATTTCGTACTATCTAGGTTTCGGACTGTCTTGGACCCGAAGTCCTAAACCCCAGACATCCCTAGACACTTAGGACGCACACCAGCTCAGCAACAAAGACCCAGGAACTCCCGCATGGCTCCCCACTGGATCTGTGAGCACAGCTGCAGCCCTCCGCCGCTCTCCTCGTCTCTGGTCATCGGTGCAGCATTTGGGCGGGCATACGGGTCCAGGGCGGTCACTAAGGCTCTAAGGTTTAGAGTTTAGAGCGACAAAGGACTGGACAACACGCAGAGATATCCGAACGCCACAACAAGATCCGAACAGACAAAGTCTAAGCCTCAAAGCCCCAAAACTTCCCCTGAGCACACAGTGGACAAGTCTCCCCATCAGACACAGGCACTGCCCAGCCGAAAAGCCTCAGACAAGGAGGGCACAGGAGGAGGCTTGAGTTTAGGCTGTATAGGGTTTAGGGTCTAGAGTGTGGGGTTTAGGGTGTAGGGGAGATGTGAGATGTGGGATTCACAGGTGTCCGGCAGGTTTCTTGGACTCAAAAGCAAAGAACCATGCAGCTTGAAAGCCGACAGTTGTAGCACGCCTTCAAGCCCCAATGCTTAAGGAGCCTTAACTCGTACGAGGAGCGAGTTCGAAGGTGTGGGCTGACGTAAGATATAAGAGAAGGAGAAAGACAGAGAGAGAGAGAGAGAGAGCGCGAGAAAGAAAGAAAGAAAAGAAAGGAAAGGAAAGAAAGAAAGGAAAGAAAGGAAAGAAAGGAAAGAAAGGAAAGAAAGGAAAGAAAGGAAAGAAAGGAAAGAAAGGAAAGAAAGGAAAGAAAGGAAAGAAAGGAAAAGAAAGGAAAGAAAGGAAAGAAAGGAAAGAAAGGAAAGAAAGGAAAGAAAGGACAAGAAAGGAAAGAAAGGAAAGAAAGGAAAGAAAGGAAAGAAAGGAAAGAAAGGACAGAAAGGAAAGAAAGGGAAGAAAGGAAAGAAAGGAAAGAAAGGAAGAAAGGAAAGGAAAGAAAGGAAGAAAGGAAAGAAAGGAAAGAAAGGAAAGAAAGGAAAGAAAGGAAAGAAAGGAAAGAAAGGAAAGAAAGGAAAGAAAGGAAAGAAAGGAAAGAAAGGAAAGAAAGGAAAGAAAGGAAAGAAAGGAAAGGAAGGAAAGAAAGGAAAGAAAGGAAAGAAAGGAAAGAAAGGAAAGAAAGGAAAGAAAGGAAAGAAAGGAAAGAAAGGAAAGAAAGGAAGAAAAGAAAGGAAAGAAAGGAAAGAAAGGAAAGAAAAGAATGAAAAGAAAGAAAAGAAAGAAAAGAAAGAAAAGAAAGAAAAGAAAGAAAAGAAAGAAAAGAAAGAAAAGAAAGAAAAGAAAGAAAAGAAAGAAAAGAAAGAAAAGAAAGAAAAGAAAGAAAAGAAAGAAAAGAAAGAAAAGAAAGAAAAGAAAGAAAAGACAGAAATGAAAGAAAAGAAAGAAAAGAAAGAAAAGAAAGAAAAGAAAGAAATGAAAGAAAATAAAGAAAAGAAAGAAAAGAAAGAAAAGAAAGAAAAGAAAGAAAAGAAAGAAATGAAAGAAAAGAAAGAAAAGAAAGAAAAGAAAGAAAAGAAAGAAAAGAAAGATATAGAGAGAGACAGGATGTCACAGAGAGGCATAAAGGAGTAACAGAAGGAACCAGAAGAAGAGAAAAGGAAGGGATGCGTGCACAACACTCATGTGGAAGCTCACATAAACAGCCCCTGGCGAGGTGCAGAGGCAAGGGCGAGTCCGTCTTGGCTGCCAGGCTCATCATGCGTGCCTCTTGACTTGGAACTTGCAGAGTCAGCAGCTTCTTTGCCCGTGTTCGGGCTTCATGGGCCGTTGGATGGTCTATGTAAGGGGGCTGGCGAAACCATCGCCAAGAATGCAGCTTGATGCCTCTTCAACAGGACCCCTATGGCCCTGAACCCACATGATCAAACCGTAGGATAGAACTCAAATCTCAACCCTTAAATTCCCTAAACCTGCTTGTCTTCCCAAAATGGGGCCCGGCCTGGGAAGGCCCCGGAGGCATACTGCTGAAGGTGAGCGCAATCAGCACATCGCGTGGCTGCAGGTGCTTTCCTCTTGAGGCTGGAGGTGATAAGGCAGAACCACGGAGCAGCAGATACTTTAACTGTTCAACTGAAGATACGGGAAATGGGAAATCCTCAGCATCTTTCAAGGGAGAAATGGCCTTAAGGGCCTGGGGACCTTAAGCCAAGTGTCGCAGCAAGTTTTTCTCCACCTTGTCGAGGCCGCAGCTCCTCGCAAAGGGCATTCCCTACGCCCGAAACTCCATGACCCGTGAAGCCCGAATTAAAGGCCCTGAATCCGCCCCAAACCCCTGAAAACACCGGAACCCCAAAACCCCCCCCCCCCCAAAAAAATAAACAATTAAAATTCCCCCACCCCCCAGTCCGGAGAGTGTTGAGCATCGAGGAAATGCCCTGCCGCCTCTTGACCAAGTCCTCGGGGACCGGCTTGGGACGAAGCTTGGGCTTGGCTTGACAAGGATTCCTCCAGCGAGCGGCGAAAAAAAACCTAAAACCCCTGAAGCCCCACAGACCCCCAAAAGCTTGCACACGAAGACCGCCAAACCCTGCAACCCCTGAGCCCTGGAACCCTGAACCCCCAATTGGACTGACCTCCCCCGCAAAAAAGAACAACAACAACTAGAAACCCTAGACCCCCCCACAAAAAGAACAACACCACATATGTGTCTGTATCTAGATTTTTAGCATTCAGTATTCCTTAATTTTTACACCTGTATGTTACATCTACTAGTTTCTAGTAATATGTATCTATATGTATGTACAAAACCTGGCCAGGGCACCACCAGAAGAGGCTTCAGCGCGGCGATGAGTCGACGGCCGCCGCAGCGCTCCCGCGCATCCGCGACGGCGCTGCGGCAGAGCTTCTCGAACTCGTCCTCACGGAGGGGTTTAGGGTTTAGGGTTTAGGGTTTAGGGTTTAGGGTTTAGGGTTTAGGGTTTAGAGTTTAGGGTTTAGGGTTTAGGGTTTAGGGCTTGGGGCTTAGGGCTTTAGGGCCTTCAGGGCTTGGCAGAATCCCCGTCTGAAAGCGGCTTTCGGTCGGTGTGGTTCCCAAAACCCCAAAACCTTGAAACCGAAACACTCCTAAACACCCTGAACCCTAAACGCTCCTAAACTCAAAGCAAGTCCTGGCTGTATACTTGGTGCCTTGGGGGCTTGTCTGGAAGTTTGCTTAAGTCCAGTGGACAGTGTTAAGCTATTAAGCTAAGCGAGACCACAGACTTCTACTACCCTAAAGCCTAAACCCTCTAAGGCAAGAACCGCATACGTTCTTTGCCGACTGGTTCCTCTCGTCCAACTCACGGTGCAGCCTGGAATTGTCAATAAGGTCTGCCGCAAGTCACCAGCTTATCTTGCAGCATAAAATTGCAAAAAGGCGCTTGGAAAAGGTATGCTGCATGTGTGTCCCTGTGAAAAAAGCGCAGCTAGATGCAGGACAAAGGAGGACAGCTTCAGAAACGGCATCATGCACCTAGATTGACCAGGCTTTCGACACAACGGCACGCCTTTCCCTTCTGTGCATCTGCCATTGCTGGCTGATTTGGGCACTAAATTGGCCCCGTTGATTTCATTTGCTACTTGTGCACGGAAGCTGCTAAGGTCTGTCACAGGCTCGGCCTAACGCCAATTCAGCCGGCCGATGCCATTGTAGCATCCCAATCTCTCCCTGCACAACCCGAAAAAGGTATGTCTCTGCAAACGAAAGTTAGGCAGAACAAACCACCACCTCAGAGACACAGCCTCGAAGATCCGACACGCCTTTCTCGGTGCAAAGCTCGGGCCTGCTCAGCCTCTGGGCCGTGCAAAGTTCGGGCCTACTCAGCCTCTCTGGCACCATTGGAGCAATCAAGCCCACTATCAATCTCCAGGTGCGGATTCCGGAAATTAGGCGTCCCTTTCTTGGGGGACGTCGATCTACGGAGATTCGACTACTTTCGGAGGCATCAACCGAATTTTAGAAAGCCCCTCGTCCAAACTTAAGCGCTACAGGCTGCGGATCCCATGATGTATCACGGGGTCAGGAGCTCCTGCGATCCGGCTGTGCCAACCTGATCACATGCCCCACCTTAATTGTAAGGTATCCTAAACACCCTAACACCCAGACTCAGACAGTCCACAGCTCGAGCAGGATCACAACCGACTGAACCTGTGTAATGAATCTAATGCGAACGGATGGCACATCCTCCAAGCAGTAACATCGAGCGGTGAGCGCCACTCCGCCCGGAAATCGCATACTGAAAGTCTGCATTCAGGCCACAGCTGCTCTGGAGTATATCCCTGGGGAAGGATGTGATGAAGCGAGGAGAAGGTCATGTCGAGCACATGCACTGGTAAATGTCAGGCCCTTCCTTCCCCAGAGCTCCCCAAGCTGTAGGGCCAAGCACTCCGCTGCGGTCCAGCACATGGAGAAAACAACTCTATCTATATAAGTATAAGCAAAAATATCGATAATCTATAGATGTATAAGAGCAGAACGGATCAGAAGTCAGTCGAGCGCAGGTTCGCAATATTCTTGCTTGCCTGAGACAACGTTTAATGCTGTGGTCCTCAACTCCGGCGAGTGCGCCACAGGGAATGCGAAAGTTATACTGCCGAAACACTGCGAGCGTTCAAGAGCAGACACAGCGCCATCAACGCAGCCTGCTTCTAAGACCATCTACAGGTTCAGGGGAGCAAGCGGTACAGCTCAGGGATTGGGCTGATACCTCGCCTGCAGCAATAGCGAGAGAAGTGCATGCGGAGATCTTCCAGCAATGTAGTCAGCTGGTTGGTTCCTTTGTCCAAGTCCTCCTGCTTGCCACAGCACACCACCATTTCCACCGGCTTGTTGTTGCCACCTTCACTGTCTCCTTCGCTGACTCGGATGTAGGCGTTGCATGCCTTCCGGATGGGACGAATGTTGCAACCACCGCGTCCGATCAAACGAGGAACGAGCTCGAAGTCAGCATGGTTGACGACATCAAGCCCGGTGAAGACGAAGCGGCGCAGAAACCGTCCCCCAACTTTCCGCATGGATGTCCCTTTGCATGGGAGCTCAGGGGGCTCAGGGGGCTCTGGGAGCTCGCCGTGGTCTTCGGAGTCTCCAGCAACCTGGGGCGACACTGACACTGGCCTCTCAAGGCCAGGTGGGGCAAACCCGGCAAACCTTTGGGGAGACGGAGATGGCCTCTCGAGTCCAGGGCACGCCAGGCAAACGGAGAGGTCGTGTAGAAGGTGCTCGAGGAAGTGAATCCAGCCTGTTCGGAAGCCAGCAAAGCTGCCAGAGCGATGCACTTCTTGTGGGCTACATCGGTTGCATCCATTGCATGACTTGAGAGCTCGTGGGTGTTGCCACTTGCATCGGGGACGAACATTGGGCGGCGATCTCCTTCCAGCATGACGAGATTGGCACCTTCACGGGCATGAGGTTGTGCCAGGAAGTGCGAGGCGAATCAGAAGTTGATGTAGCCGTACTGGCGCGCGTTGGGGTGAGATCCTCGTCTGCGACAGCTTCAGCGGTGGTTCTGCAGGGCCTCGACTCCACGTCTTCCAGCTTGATCACATCGTAGGGCTTCTTCCCATTTGCCTGTGACTTTCCGACGGCTCCACGCGGGCGAGGGGGTTGGTTGCCCAACTCACCCAGCTTAAGCTCGAGGCTGCGAGACAGTGCCATGGCAACTGAAGCTCCAGGACAACGGGAGTACGCCTTGCCCTTGACTCTTCGCTATGCCGCTATGCGCAAGCCAAATGCTTTAGCCGAATGTCCGAGGTTTGGGAGGCTCGAAACTTGCGCCCTGTCAGGCTTTGGCTTCTAGGGGTTATGGGCGTTTGGGGTTGGGAGTTCGAAAGCCATCTAAAGCTCGAAGCTGAAGCCTGGGCAAGGGTGTAGGTCTCATGATAGCCTTTCAGGGGGCATTACTTTTCGGAGGAATTAGTACTATGGGGTTTTTTTGGCGATCCCGGACCTCCACCGTCCCGGTCTTCTCGCTGAAGCGGTCGTAGACCTCCACCTTTCAAACTCACGTGCACGGAAGTGCCCGCCAACCTCCTTCCTCTCGTTCGTTCGCTCGTTCCTTCTTCTTCTTCTTCCTCTTCTTCTTCTTCTTACATCCGAAACCCCCAACCCAAGCCCCAACCCTAAACCCTAAACCCTAAACCCGAACCCCGCAACCCCGAGATCCCTGAATTCCCCTGCCCCCCTCAAGCAGAAGCTCCCGAGCAAGCCCGCCTTCTGGAAGCATCGGTCGACGGTTTGCGTTGGGGCACAACGCTCCTGTTGTTGGAGCTGTGTTGTGTTGCGTTTGGCTAGGTAGCATGGAGTTGGTTCTGTAAGGTAAGAAGACTTGAAACTGGGTTGATCTTTTGTACAGGGGAAGGAGGGGAGGAGGCGGAATGCGTGTAGGACTCTTTGGTGCTCTGGGCTTGGAAGGGTGAGGCTGCTGTGATCGGCTTCGGGGAGTGTGACTGCTGAACTTGTCATTGCTCTGGCGCCATAGCTTGGGTCCAAAAAGGCTCAACCCTATCGCCCAAAGACCTAAACCCTCAAACCCTCAAACCCTCAAATCGGTCCGGCACGCCCAGGAGCTGCAAGAAGGCATGGTCCTCCATCAGACCAGGAAGTCCAGGGTTGCTTTTGGTGGTATTAAGGCCTAGGGCTCATGGCTTTATGGGGAGCTGTGGGGTACGGGGCTGAAAGCCCGAAGGCCACAGACCTTTCAGAGTGTCATCTTCCACTCCAGGACCTCTGGAACCAAGGAAAGCACGAGGCTTTTGCTCAAGGCAACCCCCTTTCCCAGAGCCCCACGACCCCCTGCCCCCCATAGCCTGCACAGAGCCCGCCGGCTCCAATGTCGCCGAGAGCGTGGCCACGGGAAGTTGGGCATCCGCAATCTCGGGCACGGCCTGCGTGGGATTGGGTGTTCGGGCTCAGGCTCTGGGATCCAGAGGAAGAGCCATCAACGCTGCATTCTCCTGCAACCCTACGTCTTCAACCTGAAGCCACCATACACGGCCTTCATCTTGAGCCTCTAGACCCACGACCCTAGATGCCTTAAAGCACCAAACCCTAAGTAATCAACCCAGTCACACCTCAACCCTCAAAACCCCAGAAAGAGGGGCTTACGAAGGCCTTTGAGCCCGTTGCCGACGGAGCTAGCGCCGCCTCCTGTGGCTCAGAAGCCGAGGGCTTTCCCAGCTTGTGACGGAGCTAGGCGCGGGATGCTGTTTGGGTGTCAGGCTCAGGGGTATTTGGGGTTCGGGGCCAGGGTTTTCGGGGTTCCGGGCTTTTAAGGGGGAGGAGGGGGGGGGGGGGGGGGGGGGGGAGGGGGGGGGGAGAGGGGGTCAGGGTTGACCCCTTGCCCTAACTTCTTCGCACAGTGCAAGCCCAAAACCCCAGACATCTTCCTAAACCTCTACAGCAGTCCAAGCACAATCCAAGCAGTGCACGGCCAACACCATATCCGTATGACTGCTCCAAAAACACGCAACCCTACAACCATGAATAACGTATTCACAAAAGACGTTTCCACAAGCCCCCAATACGGCGGTGCAAGAACCAAACATCCATCCTTGAAACTTCCAAAACACTTCTCATATGTTCTTAACAACTTAATTTGAGCAAGCCCCAAAACACCAGTACAGTGCAGGACGGCATCTTGCGCGCTCCTTCTCTGGAAAAGGGCTCTGAACCTCCCCATCCACGGCCTGGCATTGAAACATGCGGGCTTGTTGAGGCTGCCTTTTCGAGGGAGGTTCACAAGGGGGCTCCATGCAAAAGGCACCTGCAGCGGTGCCCTGTCTCCGGAAAACAGACCCCCCAAATGACCGAAACTTGGCATGTTGGGGCACCTGCCGGCCACGGAGCTGCAGCTGCAACAGCCGCTTCTCCAGAACCCCGTAGGTGTCCTGGGCTGAGGGAAGAATTCGACCCTGAAGTTCTGGGGAGTTAAGGAGGCTAGATTCGGAAGCCTAGCCTCCTTTCAACATGGGGGGGGGGTGATTGGCTAGCTTGCCCTCTACTCTAGGGTGTTTGGTTGTTTGGGGGTGAGGGTGGAGTCCTAAACCCGAAACACTAAACCCTAAACCTTTAGCCCAGATAAACTTTCCGAAGCCTTGGCTCCCCGTAGATCTCCCGGGCAGTGCCCGACGCTTCGCGCTGCTTTCGCTGCACAGCCGACCGAGCCTCCTGGGTTTCGGTATGGGGGGGCGGGGGGGATGTCTAGGGCAGACGCAACTGGAAGTTCATGGAACAGCATTGCGGCATGGCATCACGTGCCCAACACTCAGGCTTTTCTGAGCTTGGCCCATCGGTCCTCGAGGTTTTGGGGGCCCGCTTGCTGCAGGAGCTCCAGGATACCTCTGACATGAGTTTACGGGCTCAGGGGTTTATTAGGTCTTTATGGCAAGGCCTTGGAATGCAGGTGAACAATACTTCTTCGCAAGAAACTGCAGCATCCTCAAGAATCTGAGCCGCAGGCGGTTGAAGTCAGGCATGCCTGGCGGACGCTCTGCAGTGCAAATAAAAGGTTTGCGATAAAAGGGGTTTGCGAGGAACGCCGGAAAACAGACCTCCAGCGTGAGGCATGAAAAAACTGCGACCCTGAAGCCTGCACCCTGAACCCTGATCCCTGAGCCCTGACCTGAACCAACCTCCAAAATCCCAAACTCGGGCGTTGCCCCCCGAGTCCCCGATGCCTTGGGCATCGGCTTCAATCGTGTCAGGAGAGGCCACCTCAGCTTTAGAGGTGTGGGGTTTAATGTTGTACCCGCTTTAGTAGGGGCCTCCTTAATAAAGTCAAGTTTGCCGGGACATCCAGGACCGTGTAACTGCTTCGGGGTGCAGGGTGGGGTCTGCAATTAAGTCAAGCATTCCGGGTGTCGGAAGAAAACTTCGAGCGCGCCTTTAAAATCAATTGCCAGGTGTCCCTGTTCAACTCATATAAACTCGTCCCTGTTCAAAATCAGCTTCGGTGCCCACCTCTTTGAGGTCTTGATGAAAAAGAAAATATAGCAAAGCAGAATCCGAGAACCCCGAGGTAACTTCACAGACAAAAGACGCTGAGAAGGTTTAAGAAGAAAGGTGTGGATTTGAGGGTTCAGGGTTGAAGCTTTCAAGGGTCAAGCAGGACCTGAGCCCGCGCAATGGGATGGGGGGGCGGCGTGCCTTCGTTTTCAGGAGGTTGGCCTGCAGCTTCTCTGCCTCCTTCTTCACCTCAAAGAAGGAAGATAGGTCCCTAAAGTAGCCCCCTATGATAGGCGTCGATAGACCCCTGTAGAGACCCTATGGTTTTAGGATAGGGTCCTGAAGGGGCTCCAGGCCAAGACAGGCGGATTCGGCGTTCCCAGCTTCAGACGTGGTATTCAGGATTCGAGCCTTAGGGCTTCATTTACTTGGGCTTCGGGGCTTTCAGGTCGTCAGGGCTCAGGGTTTCAGGGTTTTTGGAATGAAGAGTTCAGGATGTTGAGGGTTTAGGACTCACGGGTTTCAGGGTTTCAGACTCAAGGGCTCGTGTTCCGAACATCGGCCTGGCCAATCTCTTCGAGCACAGCCCGCACGGCCGCGACGCGCGCGTCCGCCGCGGCTGCTGAAGTGATCACGGCTACGGAGCCCACAGCCTGAAAGGGCTTGGGCTTTGGGGTTTGGGTGTTTGGGGTGTTGGCATTGATTTGGGGTGTAGGTTACGGGACAGGGGCTTCTTTGAAACTCGACAACCTTCAAGCAAAGGCTCTAAACCCGCAAGAACCTCTGCCCCAAATCCCACGCCCCAACGCCCCAATCTCTAATCTCCAATATCCACTCCCTGAGGCGCCTGAGGAACCGGAGCATTCGGCCCTGCCCCCGAGCGTGTCTCCGGTGCCACCTCAGGTGCTCCTGGGACCTGGACAGGCAACTGCAAAGGGGGAGGGGGGTTTGGGCTCCTGAAGTCCGACGCCAGAAATGATCGAGAACCCAGTGTAGGTGAGGAGGGCTGTCAAGGGGACTCCCCGCCAAAAGTTCTCCCGGCAGCGCCTCTTCGTCCTGCAAGCGCATCTGCGCCTTTTCGAAGCGGGGATGACGGCAGGGCGAAGCCCAGGGAACCCAGAAATCCTCGAACGAAACCCGAAGCTTGATCCTACCCCCCGGAAACTTCCCAACTCCAACTCCAACCCCAAGCCCAAGAAGCGCGCAAACCCCGGCCTGGAGCGCCGTGATGTGTGTTTTCAGGGCGCGGCTCGTGGATTCGGCCTGCAGCATTGAGCTGCTTCCGGGGCATTTCAATGGAGCAGCTTCCTTACAGACCCCCCCCCTTACAGTTAGGGTTGTGGGCATATAGGGCCTAAACTTTTCGGGGGGTTTAGGGATTTTTTGGGGCTTAAGAGGGTTCAGGAGTTTTGGGGTTCAAAACGTCTGAGGTTTGGGGGAGGATTAGCTTGGGTGCAGGGGGTGCAGTAGGAACTTCAGAGGGCTTCCCTAAAGGCCGAAGCCGTCAACCCGCGGTGGGGGGTTTAGGGTTAGGGTGTAGGGTTTAGGGTTTAGGGTTTAGGGTTTTCCAGAGGCTAGGGTTTCGTGATGTGGGGTGACGGCCTAGCCCTTCGGGAAAGGTTTCAGCGGTCGAAGCATCCAAAACTCCAAAAGCTATTTCCAAGAAAACACGAACAAAAAGCCCAGACTCTGGCCTAGACCCGAACCCTCATGTTCCACCATCAATCCTCCGCCAATCCTCTCATGGAATAGGACCCAATAAACGACTTCGGCTACTTTTCCAGGCTTACGGTTCAGGAGTTTAGGGGGGCTCAGGGCCTCATTGAGGAGGTCCGCCGTGCGACGCAAGAGCTCGCTCATGAAGGACAGGAAAATCCGATGCCCTGTCTGCCACTCGATGACGCAGACCTCGGGCACTTTGGGAATCGAGCCCACGTGGTCATTTCCATCTGCCAGGACTTTGGGGAGGTTCACACAAGGTTTCGGCTTAAATCCGCCGAGGCCTCGGGCCGAAGGTGTATAGGTTGTCAGAACAGGCACCCCACTCCTAATCCTCCCCCCAAGCGCAAAGCCATATGTCGGACCCCTTTTTTCACCTGGAAAGGGTGCCCCCCCGTGGGCGACCACGATCTGAAAGCGGACGGTTCGCCAGCATCAGGGGCAGTTGAAGCCACCCCTAGCAGGCCCCCCCCCCTTTCCACCCGCTTTTCCGCCATGCCCCGCCCCCGCCCTGCTCAACTCCTTGCGAACCTTGAGCCCTAAGCCGTCAACCCTAAACTAACCCTCAACCCTAAACCCCAAACCATAAACCATAAACCCGGAACCCTAAACCCTAAACCCAACCCTTATTGCTTGGGGTCCAGCGACTTGGGCGCTGCGGAATCACCATGCTCACGCGGATGCGCTGGGCCGGGCCGAGGCGGGTCGCGTGGCGTTACAATTAGATTTAAACTCGGCTATGCAAAAAAAGGGGAGCTTTTTTTGCCTTCAGATTCAAACGGGCTTGTCCCTGCAAGTGGCTAGCCACCACAACAGCGGCGCCGTGCTCCGCAACTCCACCTCTGTCGGGACCCAGGGAGGTGGAGAGCAGGATTCCCTTGTAAGAAGGACACCCTTAACTTCGGAACCTCCATGCAATTTAAGGGCCGAAGTTGAGGGGGGGGGCAGGGCTGAGGATTTACACCGGGTGTATCATAGGGTTTCAGGGATCGCCTCCAAGGGTTTGGGGTTCAGAGCTCAGTGGCCTCAGCACTCAAAGAGTCAGAGGCCTGGTTGGCCAAGACCCCGATGTGGTTGAACTGCTTTGCGTCAATGGGCATCCTGAATGGGTTCATCGTTTGAAAGGACCTCACCGACCCAAGGCAAGAAATGCCAGAGGCGCCGTGGCATCCGAAACACCGAGCCAAGCAAGGCGGAAATTCCAAAGAATCTTGGGAACTGTTGGAAGAGCTACAACCTCCCGCAAAACAGCAGCGAGGACCCAACCCCTCAGAACACCAAAGACTCGAACCTGCCCAAGCAGCAGGAGAACAACCCTTTTCCCCGCTCTTTTCACGCGAAGCAACTCCGAGTTCAAACCCTTGTCGGCCGCCAGGTCCTGCGAACTCCAGGGACCGCTAGGTTTACAGCCAAGGAATCTGGGGTTTACAAGCCTTGCTTCGGGGCTTTCACGTGCACAGGGGCCCTCAGCCGGGGGAGGAGGGCTTGAGTCTGCTTGAGTAGGGCGAACACGGGCTCCAGTCCTCCAATGACGTGCGGAGTGTCGAGTCCAGGTCGTCAGAATCCAAGCACCGAAGCAGCACGTAGTTGATGTACTGCACCTCAGCATCGGTTCTGCCGGCCGCGCAGTGTCCGCGGCGAAGAGTCTGAGGGTTTGCGCTTGAGAGTTCGGGTGTGTGTGTGTGTGTAGTTGATCTTGCCATCTTCGCCATCTCGTTCTCGCCTCATCCCGTCCACCTGTGTAGACGGTCGGAGCCTCTACACCTCTTGGAGAACCCAGCCGGGGTCAGGCTCTGTTTTTTGGATTTTGCCGGATTATACACCCTAAGTCCAAATGACTAAGCCATGAAGCTTTCACCCAGAAGGCCCATGAACCCGACACCCCTACAGGGCCGCCTCAAACCGAAAGCCCCTGTGCGGTGCAAGGCGCAGAGTAGGGCTCGGCTTCTGGTGAGATCTGTGCCGCGTGGCAGAGCTCCGCGGCACCTGCGTGTGGGCTTAGGGTTGAAGGTTGGGTTTGAAGTATTTTGGGGCGTGAAGATGGGATCCTGGAGTCCATATTTGGGCTTGCGTTTCGAGGGTCCTAGCTGCTGCAGGAGGAAGCTTCAGGCATGGGTCTTCGGAGTCTTCGGGATTCGGGTTTGAAAGTTTTAAGATTAAGCCCTGACCTAAACGAACTTTAGGGTTCAGGGCTACTTTTGCGGTGAACAACGTGTTGGATGAAAAGCTCGTGGCAACTTAGGACTCTAAAACCATCCGCCCAAGATGCATGGGCATCCCATGCCACCCGGTTCACCGATTCCTGCTGCAAGAAGAATGCGAAGGCGATAATTCTGACTGACATGCAGCTAACTACCCGGCATGAGTTGGCTGCATGAAATAATGGGAACCCGAAATGGTAACCCTAAGGGGGGACCATCGGCTATAAAGATGTCGGTGCTGCATGCCGTTGGTTTATCTTGAACACCGTAAACCCTGAACCCCGGTTCCTAAACCCAGCACCTTCAAACCCCTAAAGCCTGAAACCCTCAGCTTCATGCCCCAAACCCTGAACCCCAACCCTACACGCCCCACACGCCATGCCCAGGCGCAGACGGCAAAAGGATGCTGAGGAGTGCCAGTGGTGGTGGCAAGCGGCCGACGGAGGCAAAGGGTGATCCACATCGCGCGCCTGGGCTGCAAGGTTTAGGGGCGTGCGGGCTTGGGGCTTGAAATATTATGTACGATATACTAGAATATAATGATACATAGTTCTTTATATATATATATACACATGTATGTAGATGTTAATGTACAGTATATATGTACATATGATGCTTCTTTCGTGAATGTCGTACATATACATATGTTAAATTTTCACATACCATACCCTGCATATGGTGAGAGTGAAGTGCTATCTTCAAAGTCGGGTGCGGCTTCCTCATGAGTCTTCTCTGCTCAGGGGTTCAGTGTGGAACTTGCAGGGCAGAGTCTTTGCAGGAAGCACGAGGTCTCCCCCCACCCAAGACTTTACTTTCGGAAGGCCGCAGTTCCAGGGCTTAGGGCGTAGGGGTTTAGGGGCGAAGGGTTTAAACTGCGGCGTTGCGAGTTGAAGGGTTTTCATTTCGGGTTGCTCAGAGGCTTTCGGAGCGCCTTTGAGGCTTTAGGGAACCATTCGCTGATGAGCGGCTGCTCATCCAAGGCCCACTCGAAGTCGTTAGGCATGCCTGGCAGCTCACCCAAACAACCCTAAACCCTAAACTTCCTAAACCCTAAACCCCTTCCGCTGGAAGTTCTGCCCCCCGGATGCTCCACTCGCAGCTTGGATGAGGCATCTAACGCGGGCCAGCACGACATGTTCTTGAGAACAGCTCCTCACAGGGCTGAGGCACTGAGAACCCCAGAACCTAAACCGCAAGGGCTCGGGCTTGAGGTTCTTGGGGTTCATGGCTTGGCATACCCTTCATCCCAGAACTTGGGGTTTCAGAAGTTAGGGTCCTAGGGCTCTAAGGTTTGAGGTGGGTCTGAAGCTTTTGCCGCCAGAGCCCAATCTCCAAGACGCAGCACCAGATAAACATCCCAACACTGAGCCCCCGACCTTCGAACCCTCCCTGAACCCTGACCTCAACCCCTGAGGGCTCAGAAGCCCTCACGCTGACGCTTCAAAACGCATGCTTCGACGTCGAATCCTCGCAGCTCTGGTAGAGCGGATGCCCTTGCAGACCCAGCTGTCGAACTTCATGCAGGCTCTCCTGCTTCAGGGCTTTAAAAGAGCTTTATAGCCCTTATTACCTCAGCCTGTTAGCGGGTCAAATTGTTTGAAATGCTGGCAGCCCTGGTCGCAGCTCGAACCTCGCATGGATATGTGGTACGAACGGAGGCAGTTCTTTGGGCCCTCTCAACCGTAGCCTTAGACAGGCCCTTGACAAGATTTCTCCACGACCGAATGCACTTGGAAGTGGAAAACCTGTGGATCTCCTAGTCGTAACACGACTAGTAGCTACCAGGGAAGTCCCACCACACAAGTGGAAGTCTAAGCTTCGAGGCTTTGGGGGTTGAAGGGTCTAACTAAAGGGGCTTAGGCTTAGCCCTGAATAGCAAGAGGGGTCTCCTGTAGGCCAGCCAGATCCCGTGGCGAAGAACTGGCTGCTGTCAGCTTCCTTGCCGGCCAAGGAGTTGGGGTTTCCTAAACCCTACACCTCAGAACACTAAGATGAAGAACATATCAAGACCTGCTGTGGCCTTACTGCTCCCCAGCTTCTCCAGGGCTCCACTCATGGTGGACAGAACGCCTGGCTTCGGGACTTGCAGGGATGCCTAGGAACTAAGGCACTGCGATGCTGCTGCAGGGCACCACCACCCTGGCATCTTTCTCCCAATCCCCTGCCCCCCAACGTGAGAGATGCGCATCTGCTGAGCTTGAGCTGAAAGGTTGGGGCTTGAGATTTCGGATGCGGCTATTTTTTGATCTGACGGATGAGGAAGCCGCCTTCAGCTTTCTTCACATCGTCAGTGACGATGTGATATTGGCCCGCTTCCTCCACGCTGCCCTGCAGGTCCTCGTAGTTCCTCGGTCTCTTTCTTAGTTTGGATTAGTTTGGATGAGTTTGGATGGGCTTGGGTCTAAAGTCTCTATTTTTCAATTCGGAATTCTGCAAATACCCCATGACTGTTCCTGCCAATCAGCACTCCTGTCGAGGACACGTCACTTAGCGCTCACGACTTGGGGTTAGGAGCTTCCAGCCCCCACAAAACCGGCCATGCGGGCGGTGCCTCCTTGTCTAATACGGTGTCGGGCTGCAGCGTCCGCAGCGCCGCGCTCACGCGCTTGGCCACGGCATCCAGGGTTCGGTGGACATCTTTTGCCTGGGAAAGTACCTGGGAGGATCCAGGCTAGCGCATGAGGCACCCCAACTCATTCCCACATGCTTGAGACACATTCACAAAGGGCTGATCCAACTGCCGCCTGCAACCCAACACCCATTCTCCAAGAGCCCATAACCCTAAGCCCCGCCAAAAGCCTAAGAAAGAGACCAACAGCTCCAAAACCCTCAACCCCACCCCAAACCACCCTATATGAACCCGACAGATGTGTTCAGGATCTGGCCGGCGCACTCTTTCAATCCACCAAAACGCCGCCTCACAACCATCCAATCTCTGACACCCAATCTCTCTGATTTCCCAGGTGCGTCCGCAATCTCCCGGACCTCCTCCGGACGGCGGGCCTCTGCCTCCGTAATGGCCTCCGACAGCTCATTCAAGCTTTCAGGGGCTTCGGATTTTGGGTCTTGGGCCAGTTTTCCGGTTTTGGGCTGAGGCTTCAGGGTCTAGGGTTTGGAGTAGGGGATCTTGGGCCTGAGGGTTCACGGATTCAAGGTTCTAGGCTTTTTGTGAGGCTTTGTTTGAGGGCCAGCTTCAGCAGGTGCAGGGTCCAAGGTTTGGGCTTTCTGGGCTTGAAAATTATGTGGGTGTAGAACAGCTGGGGCTCGTGATCGACTGGAAATCCAGACGGTCGTGAACCTTAGGTCCTGCGTCCTCAGGGCACCAAAAAAGCCCTGTCATCCGCAGCCAAGACACACGCTTGAGGCCATCGTAGTCGCCTGGGCAGGGAAAACCCCCGCCCCAACACTGAAGACCCGAGCTTCCTCTGTTGGGTTGGGGCTGAAGCTTGGATTTTTAGGGCTTTTAGGGTTTGGGATTTAGGATTGAGGTTTGTAGGTCAATGGGGTGTCACTTGGCCATCACCCCTTTGCAGTGGTCTCAATTGTTCTTCTTCACTGCCAAACATTGTGCTTGGAAAGCAAGTTCTTTGTTTTGACAAACAATGTACCGAGTCAGTTTTCTTTCAAAGCGATTTTAGCTTCCATTCTGACTGACTAGATGGCACACAGGAATTTCAAAGCGGATTAGTTTAACACATGCGCTGCAGCAAGATGCTTCTATTTTTGATTTGTGCGCTTTGCATGTTGGTAGTTTTGGAGGCATTTTGACATTTGTCTTTTCATGTTTGGAGGCAGACTTTGTGGCGGCTGGTTTCGGGGAGCCTCCCCTGGTGTTTCTCCATGTGCACACACGGCGAACACTGACCCCGCAATCCTGGGCACTGGCACCGCCAAGATGGGGTCACGTGGGAAGGGCAACAGCAAAGGTTCTATGACTCATTAGACCCTCCAGGAAAGGCTTCCCAAACCTTCGGGATGCCACCCGGACTCAAGAAGATCCTTAAACCCAAAACCCCCACTGAAGCAAAGGCGCGCGAGCGGATCGCTGAGACGAGGGCACCAGTTTTGGAGCTCTGCAGCTTCTGATTTGCCTCGAAAAGAGTGCTCAACTTTTCGGTGTGCGGTCAGATTTCCGGGTTTAGGGTTTAGGGTTCAGAAGTTCAGGGCCGAAAAGACCTTTGCCCCTCCCCCAAACTCTCAAAAAACAGAGTGGAGGGCCTCGTCCACCTTCGCGGTCTTCAACCCCTGTCGGCTAGCCTTCGCCCAGGCCACGGAAGGTTTTTTTTTGAGGGATTTGGGGGGGTTGGGTTGAGATCGGGCTCCGGGCTTAAGACCCAAGAGAAGCACACGGCTTAATCGGAGGTAGGACCGGGGCAGGAAACCCCAAGGCCTAAATCACCCCCTCATCCTCTAAAACCCTTGGACCCGCCCCCGTCGCAACCCCGAAACCCTATCTATGGCCATCTCCATGCCCATTTCGGCACCTCCTCCAGCGCCGCCGTGAGGTGCACCCTCTGCGAGAAAGCGAGTTTACGGCTTTCCGAAAATTAGGGTGCCGTGTTTGGGGGGGGTGCATTTTCAAGGCTACTACCATGCCAAAAGCGGGGTCCTGCTTTTGCAAACTCCCCAACTTGGAACGCAGGGCTTGATTGCTGGCGTTCGGGGTCGTGGGCCTCGGGCTTCTGAAAGACTCCGGTAACCTGTCGACGTCCTATCACCTCATGATTCATGCAGACGTGTCCGACTTCAATACCTGGGCGGGCTGATCCAAATTGATGTGCCCCTTCCGGCACCTGGACTTTGAGTGACGCAAACCCCTGCTTCAGGGGCTTTCTGGACTTGGGCCCTCGGGCCCTGGAGGGCCTCTTGAGGGTCTGGCACGGGCCATGAGCAAAACAAGAATGACCAATACAAGCCCCCAGCCGACCCGGCGGAGAAGCCCCTCGAAGTCCAACCACACGGCTTTCAAAGCTGCAACCTTCGCAGCCTTGGACCTCTGAGTCTTGTGCTGTGGTGCTGTGAACTCCAAAAAACCTCAAGGATCCTAAGCTCGAAGCACCAAACTCCTAAACCCTAACATATAAACATCCTAAGCATTCTGCTAAGAAACAACCGCAACCCTGGCAATCGTGGCCTGTCACCGGCTTCAACGGCACTGTGCAGCTGCCGCCTGATCGGACAGATGAGGCTGAACGGCTCAGGGTTTGCGGGCTTAGGCTTTAGGAGTGAAGGCTCTGGGGCCCTTTGGGGTGGTAAGGGTGGGCATGGTCATCCTGTCCAGACTTGACCATGTTTAGGGCGTGAAGGCGGGCGTCGCATTTGTGCCCATGCACCTCGCATCGGAAATGCTGGGAAAGAATTTCCGTCGACAGCGACCCTGGGGGGACTAAACACCCAAGTTGCGGGCCCAAGCCCTGAACCCCCCTTAACCCCCACATCCTCTGCCCCTGCAGATCTTTGTAGGCCAGGTCACTCGGCGGTGCGGAGCTCGCGTAGTCGAGACTGGCAGCACGGGCAGCTTACGGGGCTGGGGATCTAAAGGGTTCTCCGGATGAGTGACCACACGATGGTCCCTGTTGGGCTCAGGCGGGCGTCACAGAACTGACCCGCTCAGGAGATCAAAGGGGCAGCTGCGGGGGAACTGGTAACTGAGAACCTGTCCCTTACATAGTTGCCTGGAGAATAACTGTTGAAGAAATAGTGCGAATACCGACAAGCCAGGTTGACAACTGATCAGAAGACCAAAAGTTTCAAAGTCGTGCAACGCGTCGACATCATTGAGGGCAACCTCATAGGAGGTAGGCCCTAAACACCAGAACCCTGAAGTAAACGCATCCAAACCCTCAACCTTGTAAACACCTGGAACCTCATAACCCTGGCCAAACCATGGGCGGCACCTGAGCCTGCAAAAGGTGCTCGTCCTCGATGCCACATCCTTCCGCCTGGAGGAGGTTAGATTTCATTGGACCGACTGTTCTGGACTGTTCCAAATCAGAGCTACAGAGACAGATGCAGAGGGAGAGGGCAAAAGAGCAGTGTGCGTTGCTTTTTGGCCGCAAACCATGCGGCAGCCAATCAGCCAAGCAGGCAAGCAGCCATCAACGCTTTGCTTCTGGGTCTTCCTACACCCCATCGATAGCGATACTGGACCCGTCCCAGAATCAAAGTATCACTTCTGCACTATAGTGATTCTTTGCCTCCGGGCCTGCGCAGAATTTGGGTTTGAACACCTTTCCACACAAACCTAACCAAAAGCCCATGATTCTACAGCGAAATATTCGTCTTTGAAACAGACCAAAATAAAGCCAGCCCATCAGCCAGTCAGCCGATTAGACAATCAGCCGAATGAGCCAAGCAGCTGAGCAGCTGAGAGATTGGCTGCAGCGCAGTTTGAAAACCAAGTTTGCAAGCACAATGCAAGAGAGAGAGAGAGCGGTTACGGAGGAGAGACCACAAAGGAGAAAGGCATGCCTGGTCCATGTTTCGGGAGACCATGGCCTCAACCCTAAACCCCTCTAAGCCTTGCACCTGGCGTTCAACCTCTCAGAGTTTGAATGAGTTTGAGCCCAATCAACCGCAAGCTCCGATCCTCCCCGCGCCTCCCGCAATGCTGACTCCAGGTGTTCTGGGTCGCCGTGGCCGTGGGAGATCTTGAGCCTTGGAAGGTTTTGATGTGTGGCCATGAGGGCTTCAGGAGACTGGGGCCTGAAAAAAGTGTTGGGGCTTCATGCAATATGGAAGTTCCCCACGCTCGACTGTGAGCTTCAAGGGTCCATCTAATTCATGTCCGCTTAAGGGTTCAGGGTTTCGCGCACTCTTGTATTCGTAATAGGAATGCCTCAAGCCCTCAATTCCTTCGGCTGAGGAATAGCTGAGGCTGTGGCTTCTCCTTTGCATCGGCCTGGCAGAGATGGGCCTACTGAGCATACGACTCTGCCCATCGAGACTTGATTGAAGTTGCAGGAAACTACCAGTCTTTTTGATGCTTTTTGTAATTGCAGACTTTAAGAGCTAGGCAACTAGAAAAAATGGAGGAAAGAAAAACTGTAGAACTTCTACACAAACAACGGGGCACCACTGCAGCTCCCAGATCCTAGGAATGCAGTGCGCCTGCTTCTTCAGACGGCCATGCTCCTCCTGCGGTCACTCATGGATACCTTACGACAGACCTCTACAACAGTTTCCGGCCGAGCTTTGGGGTTTAAAGGCTTTTAGGCGTTTTGGGGGCTCAGAAGGCTTCCGGATGAAGGAAGCTCTGGGTCGACTTTTTGTACCAGTCCGCGTGCGCATCACAGCAGCACCAAGCTGGGAACTGCGGCCTGCTTTGCCGACGACCCCTGGACTCCACCCTGGACTGTGGCTCCGCAGGCCTTCGCCTGGGCCCGGTCAGAAACAAGGAAGGCGGCAGAGTAGGGTGCGAGAGTCACAACCCCAGAGCCAGACCCTGGCCTGGGCACAAAGTCCGGCACCGTGCCGTCCTTGTTGGCCTGCATCACGTGACCGTTGACTGCGATGTACGGGGTGGTCAGGTTGCCGCCGGCCGAGGGTGGCATTCTTAGGTGGTACTCTGACCATGAGCTTTCAAGCCCTGTAGAAGAACCCGACGAAAGCAGAACCATGACAGTGCTCGGGTCCGGCGAAACATTGAGCACCATGATGCTGATGGCCCCAGCCGTGGTCGGGTGGCAGTGCGCATAACTCCGCACGGAACCTCCCAGTTCCCCTGCATCCAGCACTCTAACACCCATAAACCGCTTGTACGCCAAGTAGGCCCAGTATGATGGGTTGGGCACAAATCCCTCCTTGCTTGCAGTGGAGATGACCGAATACCCTGCGCTACCAAACAGCCCTTGTCGCACAACCCCGCTGTATCCCAGCCGCGACAGCATGGCGACTTGGTCCAAGTCTGTAAAGATTGCGGCAAAACGGTCCGAGACAGCATGTACACCCCCGCCCCAGGCGCTGGCACTTTCCCCGACCCACAGCATGCTGTGGGGCGTGTACTTGTCCCGCATGGCCACTGTCAAGTTTGCATATGCCTGGAGAGAGTCCAGCGTCTTCGGATCCACAAACTTGGACACTGGAGACAAGTTGTTGAAGTAGTAATGATGCCAAGTCAGAACGCTGGGCTCCCACTGCGCGGCCGCTGCAGCGGCAGAGAAGTTCTCCAAGTAGTCGCAGCAGTGAGCGGCGTCAGGTCCGATCACCAGCGGGATACGGTCCCTTTCAACACCCGCCGAGGCATAGGTGTACTGTAGGAGCTGAGAGAGCAGCAGATCATCCTGCACGTGCTGGGCCACGGGCACGGAGCACTTTGGGTTGCTGGGATCTGGGCAGTGCGGATCTGGCTCATTCCCGAGCTCATACCCAAGAGGCCGATCGTGCTCCAAGTGGTACCTGGGTTTCCCAGTACCCGAGCAAAAACGAGGAGCACCTTTCTTGCCTAATGAGGGGAACCAAACCCTAAACCCAAAAGAAGATGAGAAAAAAGGATACCACTCCGGGTCCCGGTTTCTGCAAAACTTGGCCAAGCTGTGCTATGTTGACAGGGCCTGCAGCTGAGGCGGTTTTGTTGGGGCGACTCATGTAGCTCAGCCCCCACACGACGTCCCAGCCCGTCGCATTCGTGAACGTGAAAACCTTGTCGATATCTGCCGGGCCGAAGGAGCCCTCTTTCGGAGAAGAGCCGAAGTCATACGTCACTTCATCCTGGCTCGAGCCTCCCACCCTCAAGATAGATCTCCCCAAGGCCCTGCAAAGGTTCACCAGCCGACTGTCGTCCAGAGGCCCATGCTTCACCCCACCGCCGAGCTCGATGGACCAGGCAGCATTTCCTTCAAGAGTGGTGTGCACCGGAGAGCCCGTGTTGACCTCGAGACTCTTCAGAGCTTGCAAGGCCTAGGCCTAGGCTTGGAATCGGAGTTCCTGCTTCTTTGTAACTTAGCGTCATGTAGGGGCATACTTCTCAGAGGTTTGTTGAAGTTACGGCCCGGCGACTACCACGCGTTTCGCCTCATCCGCGGCCGTGGGTACCAACACCACGCAGGCGGCGATAGTCACAAGGCCGACCAGCTCTCCACCGCGGCGCGGCATTCTCGGACACGGACCCGCGCACTTCGGGAAGGATTCTAGACTGGCTGGGTTTATGGAGCCTTGTTCGCGCAACTCAAGGACAGACGTCGGTGCATGCTGCTGCGAAGTTTGCGAGGCTGCAAGAGTTCCCGAACCTTCCATCAAGCACGATCAAGTACAAAGAAACATTGCCTAACCTCCAAGTCCTCGCCTTTGTTTAACCCCGAGCCCTGAACCCAACACCCCTACAGCCTCCGCTCTGAACCCCCAAACCCTGGCTCCAAAGCCCCCCCAAAAAGAAGAACCCTGGGGAACCCCAAACAAGTTCAAACAATCACAGCCAAAAACCGAGAGAAGCTCTCCTTTCACAAACAAGTGTGTGTGTGTGTACATTTATACATATACATATATATATATATATATATACATATTCCGCCAGACGCTGGGCTCCTGGAACTTCGCCTCCACCTGCTCCACACGCTGCGCTGCCCTGCTGCACTCGTCGGGGCAGGCGGCTTGGCAGGCATCCTGGTGCGTGCTCAGATGGCTTTGGGGGGGTTTGTTTGGCATTAGGGCCAGATAGGGCTAAGAAGGATTGAAGTTTGGGGTTGAGGGTAGAAAGCTTTTTGAGGTTCCAGCTTGGGGATACTGGGCGGGCTGGTAGGGTCTTCATGAGGGTTTGGGTTTGGGTTTGGGTTTTGCGTTTTGGGTTTGGGTTTGGGGTTTAAGACTTTTGGGGCTTACGGTCTTACGAAGGTTTAGTTTAGGGCTTCCGGGTTTACGAGGCTTAAGGCTGGAAGGCTTGGTGCGACCAGGGCTTAGGGATCCCAAACTCAAGGCCTTCTGGGGTCTTGGGCTGGCTTGGAGGTCTGATGCTTTTGGGCGGCTTGATTTCAGGTTCATGTACATTGTGGGCACATCCTGGGGATTCCATGCACATGTGCTTCCGGTTCCGAGAATTCCTCCAATGACCCGCTCTTAGTTTTGCATGTTCGTGAACCCAAAAACAATAATGAAGTGCGTCGAGCTCTGATTCTTGTCATCTGCTTTTCCCTTCTGAAGTTCACTTGCTTTGTTTTCTCGCTTGATGTAGATCGCATGCGGCATCCCACCATCCCTTTCTCCCGGCCTCCATCCGCTTCAGGACGCGCCGCGCCTCGCAAGCCCTAACTTCCAAATCAGTGCAAGATAGTGCAAGTTTGTTGCGGTCAAGGCCTGGATCGTGAGAACGAACCCGCAACCCTGAAGCCCCTTAGGCTGCACTTAGGGTGCTTGGGCTGCAGCTTCAAGGACGTCACTGTTGGGTTTTGGGGTCCCGCCGCCGTCACGCCTTGTCCAGTTCCTGTTTCCTGGATACCCCCTCTCAACGCCCACAAATCCTCTTTCTTGGTCTCCATTGAAGTATCTTCCTTACTCAATCTCCAGGGTGCCCGAAAAGAAACCCCTAAACCCCAAACCCTAAACCCGAAAACCCTGAATTCGAAACCCCAAACCCTAAACCCTAATCCCTAAACCCTAATCCCCACTCTTCCGAGGAGGCCTCCTCCACGGCCTCCCCTGCCGCACCGCTTTGGATGCCCCCAGGCTTTCCAGCGCGGTCGAGGTGCTCCTCACTGCTGTTGCCCGCTTCTGTTGACGAAGTTACCAGCTAGGGTCTGCTAGGTCTCTCAACTTGGGGTTTAGGGTTTGCTGCCACCCCTATGTTGCCGATGATCAAGGCCCCTACACCATGAAGGTTATGGCTAGCTACTATTGTCGCTCTCCCACTTGAAAACCCCCACTGTTTCTGTGACGTCCAGAGGCAATACGTTGTTTTGACATCCTAGGCCCTCAGCCCTAAACATCCCTAAATCCAACAGCTCTAAACCTACTGAAATGCGGTGTCCCACCCTAGGCCCAGGTGATCAGAAAGTACATGTGTAGTGGAAGGCGGGGCCACCCTAAACCCTCATCCGCCGATACCCTCTCCAAGGAATCTCCTGCAGCTCTTGCTGCAGCAGGGTCTGGAGCTGCCTCGCAGGTTTCAGGTCAAGGCTTGGTGGTCCTTGGACTTTGGGGCTTTTGGGGGGCTTTTTGGGTGTAGCGCTTTCGGGTTCGAGGTGCAGGGTTGAGGGTTTAGGCTCTTTGTCAAAGACACAACGCACAGCCTTGAAGCTGAAACTCCAGACAACCTTGCAGCCCGAAACCCGAAAGCCCTCCATGAAGCCTCCAAAGCCTGAAATCCCACATTGGTGTAGGGTTTTGGGGTTTGAGGGTCTGCAGCGACCCAGTCGAACAGCCTTCAGCCCTAAACAGGCCATATCAACAGTCCAAAGGCTGGCCAAAAAAAAATCACAAAAACAATGATCATGAATAGCAATAACAACAAGAATGAATCCATCCCAATCCCCCCGAAAAGCCCTTACACCCGGCTTTCGCGCAGAGTCCACCAACGGGGCCGAGAGAGCGGATCGGTGGAGCGCGCCGCTTTGCTGCTTCAGCGCTACGTCCTGTTAAGTACGAGGAGGCTTGGGGAGGCTTGCTAAGGGGTGAGCAACCCTGTAGGTTTTGAGGGTTTACGGGCGTTGCGCTCAGGACTTGGGGTGAGGGGTTGGAGGGGATGGAGGGCTCTAGGATTGCGGCCAAACTGGCTTCTTTGGTTCTCGGAGACAGGTGTGTAACCACAACAAGAAGGAAGACATGAACACATGTAGACACAACAGCGCCGGAGAGAAACCACCAACAGAAATTGAAACCACGCATGACCCTCGCTTCAAAATACAGAGGCCGAAGCCCGGGAGACCTGAAACCGCTGCATCGCGGTCTCCCAGGCTGGTTTCGCTTTAAAGCACAGAAGCAACCTCTAAATTGCGGTCTCCCGGGCTTTGGCCTCTGGTTGATCTGCATCGATGCCAAGCTAGTAAACCCAACGAATAGCGAAACGAAAAAACAAAAGCACGATCAGAGTTCAAAAGAACCCTAAACTCGTAGAGGTTAAGGCGAGGGCGGAGCGCCAGTGGGGGGGGGGGGGGGCTTATGCAGGTCGGTGGGAGCACCTGGGGTTTTGCAGCACCAGCGCCCCCAGTCATTGAGACCCCCTAACCCTAAACCCTATAAATTAAACCCGTAAGCCAAAGCCCAAAACCCTCAAACCTAAAGCCCCAAACCCATCTCCAGCCCAGAGCACCTGGAGGGCCTGCTCCAGGAATTCGGGGCTGGCGCTCTCCCCTAGCCTCGGGCGTTGGAGGTCTTAGGGGTTCTTGGGGGCCCCCACTGCAAGCAGCCAAGTAAGAACAAACGATCCAAGTCCATCTTCTGAATCTGGGGATTTCACAGGCATCCTGCCTGTTGTGAACTAAAGGGTGGCGATACTGGGCTTAGGGGTTTAGGGCTTCAAGCGTCACGACGCCCTCATACCACGAAAGGCAGGAAGGCTCTCTCAGGACGAGGGAAGACCAGAAGAGGTAACTTCGCAACTTCACTTATGCTCCGGTCGTATTCCTTCGCAGCCCTAACTGAGCTTGCCAATGGAAACATGCCTTGAAACTCCCCACCGAAACTGGAAAGAAGCTACGGTTTTTATATGGCATACTCTGACACAGCCGATCCTTTGGCCTCTAAACATCGTTGGCCACATGCTTGACAGCGCGGGTGCAGTCAGCTGCATCAGAGCCTGACACACACATTTGTATGTCGACCAAGTCCCCGTGTCCTCGCGCCGGCCTCCAAAAGCGAACGCGCGACTTGGCCATCTTCGTCGGTCACACCACATCCTTGTGAGCACCAGCCTCCTCCAGCAAACGCGCAACCTCAAAATGGCCCCCGGAAATCGCAATCATCAGAGCTGTGCGCCCATCTTTGTTGACCAAGTCCTTGTCGGCGCCGGTTTCCACGAGCACACGCACGACTTCAACATTGCCAAAGTAAGCGGCACTCATGAGGGCCGTGTCGCCAGACTCGGTGGCGAAGTCCCTGTCTGCAGCATGGACTCGACCTGGAGGTTGCCAATGCTTTAAAGGGCGCTTAGGCTTGGAACCCTTGAGGGTTCTCAAGGTTTAGAGTTTAGAGTTTAGGTCTTAGGGTTTAGGGCTTAGGGTTCAGTATTTCGAGGCATGTCATTAAATTGCACGCTCGCACCGGAAACGGCGGCCTCCTCTGCTGCGTTCCTTGCCGCTGCGTCCACGAGCGCGGCAGCCAGCGAAACACGGGAGAAAGGTTGCAGAATAACGTTCAGATCAAGAGAGGAATCGACCTTGTCAGCATCATCCAAATCAGCGCCCTGCAGAATGAGCCTTTGCCTGAATCGCGGAGGGAGGCCGTGCAGCTCATGCAATCGCTGCTTCACTTCCTTCACACTGCTCACCTCCACCACTGGTATGCTTGCCACCTCCTCCCCGGAAAGCATGCAGACGCACAGCATACTAGTCGGATAGAGCACCCTGCACAGAGCTTCTGTGCGAAAAACCGGGACTTGCCTGAGCCAACATGCCTGCACCCCCCTTTCTAAACAACAGGGGACTGAAGTTCCACAATGTCGACGGGTCATTGAACCTCCTAAAATCAACCCAAAGCCCACATCACCCCTACCTACTGAAAGGCTGCTGATCTTACTCTCTGCCATGAAAAGCACCCCCCCATCCCAAACCTGAAGCCTGTCCCTTTGAACCAACCACAGATTGGGAAGTTCCGGACGTCGGCTTCCTTAAGGGGCTTTTTGGAATGCCCAGTTCCCAACTTGCCCACTAAGAACCAAATGAGAAAGCACGAGCGGCGTAGCTTCCCGCAGTCGCGCTTGCACTTGCCTAATTCACACTGGGCAGGCAGGCGAAGAGGGGAATTATTTATCGGGTGTTCGTGGTGAGGGAGGGGGAGCTTAGAACCAAAAGGCGATAACTTTCGGGACTCTGCAGGTATTGTACTGCGCCCCGCAAAAAAGTCAAGGCTGCCTACTAAATGCACTTTACCGGCAGGCCCTGTGGCTTAAATCGCCTAAGCCACTGAAGCCCTCGAAACCCTCAACAATCCTGATAATCCTGAAGCTCTGCCCAAGAGTCTGCGCAGTTTCGTCCATGGTCTTCTTCTCTTCCAAGACAGCACTCCCGCGGCTCTTCAACGTCTTGAGGGCCTCAATGTAGCATGGGGGCCCATTGAATTATACTGTAGCTGAAAAAATAGGATGTATGAGGAGGACAATGCCAAAGCTTCACCAGGCTCCTTGAAACTTTGGGTCCGAGGATTTCGGGCTGTATTGTATGGGCCTAGGGGGTGCAAGCCAGCCAAGTCCCCCCCCCACCTCGCCCTCAGGCAAGCTAGGCGGAAGCGCACTAACCTCTCGCCTGAGCTGTCGAGATGAGGACTTGCGATTCGGGACTGCTTTGGGTTTAGGGTATGAAGTCGATGGTTCGGAGTTCAAGAGCGAAGGCGATTGCTAGGAGAATGTGAGACAACGGGAGTTCGCACGCGACCTTCCCGAGTCTGTCACAGGCGCGAGGTGCTGGGTTTTGGGGTTAAAATTCGGATCGAGCTTTTGGGAATCTGACGTGGTGGGAGTCCCTGTCATCGCCCGAAACAGTAAGTCATTCAGCCAGAACCGGAGTTTATGGCTTAGGGCGTTAGAGTTGGTTTAGGGCCTTGAGGTTCTGGTTCAGGGCTGGTGGGGCTGGGGCTGGGTCTGGGGTGGGAGCGCCCAACCCCTAACCCTGAACGGGCGCTCCCCTACTTTCCTGGCGGCTGACTTGTGCTAAGTCTTGGGTGATTCTGTTGCAGCGCCGAAACGCATGTCCTCAGGGAGTGCATAGGCGCGACTCTTGTGTTTTTCGTTTTGCCAACCCAAACTCGTGCAGTGTGAAGTGAAGGAAACCCTAGAGCAGAAGAGGTTGAGATAGACGCCTTAAGCAACCCGAAAGGAGCTAAACCCTCAAAGCACTGGGAGTAGGAACCCCGAACCCTATCTCCTAAAGCCCCCCTGAAAGGAGGTTCTGAGAGAAGCCCAAAGCCCTGAAAGGGAGGCACCGGGCACTCTGCATATCAAGCCCGGAGCCCTGACAAGGGGATGGGCAACCCTATCCGAAATGGAGAGGACTCGTTGGGCAGGGGGAGCGGGGGGGAGGGGGGGAGGGGGGTTGAGATCAAAGGGTTGTTAAAGGGTTCTCTGACCTGGTTTTGCCGAAGCAGCAGCGTCTGATGCAGCTCCTGGTAGACCTGAAAGACTTCTTTTCGTCTCAGGGGATAGTGCTGAAGGTTTAAAACAAGATCGTGCGAGCCATGAGTTTGGTGGACTCTTGAAGCAATTCTCGGCTCAGACCGGTACAAGCAACCATGCTCCGCGGTGGCATACATGAGGGGCGTAGTACTTGTAGTCCCGGAAGACTCAACCCCATGCACCCGCACTACTACAGACCACCAGATCTGCATCTCTCCCCCAAACTCTCGTGTCACATTTTGCCCCTTGCGCCGTCGTAGTCAACGACCTCTGAACTCTGGCACTTGACGAGTGCTCTGCCTTTTCTGTCTTTCGGCGTTCCGTGATTCACCCCTCCAGCTCCCAACTGGGGTTCGATCCGGGGTTTGGGGAATTTTGGCTCTCCGGCAGGGGACTGAGGGAGTGCGTGTGCGTGTGCACGGTTTGTAGGCTGCAGGGTTCTACCTCAGCAGCCCCCACCTCGTCATGGCTGCTGGCACCCTCCGCGCGGCTCACCAGGTCCTTTCGCAAGCCCAGAGCAACCCAGAGCAACCTGAAAATGAAAAAGTTAGAGGGTGGGTGCAAAGATATCCGGTTGCTGAGGAAACATTTCATGATTAAAGTGATAGGAAGACATGGGTGTTTAGCTTCTTCGCTATAACACCCAGAGGCTTTAAGCGAATGAACCCGAAACCCCAAATAACCTCATCCCGTAGCCCTAGACCAGAATCCTAAGCCCAACGCAGTACCAATCCCTACGGCCTTAGTTCAAACCCTCCCGGCATCCCTAAAGCCTACAGACCCCCAAAGCCCTTAGCCCCTACCCCTGAAAGCCCTCAACCCTTGACCCGAAAAAAGAATGAACTGAATTGAAAAACAAATGAACAACCCCAAAACCCCACCTTAAACAAACACAATGAAATAATGCAACGATGATGATAATAATCATAATTATTGACAATTATCGAACCCCAGAGAGACCTGCAGCGACCGCTCGAGGTCATCGCGGCGGCCCTCCAGCTCCCTCCGCTCCACAAGGCGCCTGGCGGGGGACGTCGAGGTTGGGGCTTGGGAGGGGGGGGGGGGGGGGGGGTGGGGGGGGGTCTTGGAGTTTTGGGGCTTTGGGGGGGATCTGAATGTTTTGGGGTTTTGGGGGTTGGTATCTCATGTCGCGACCGACCAGATGTGAAGGGAAGGAGTTTGGGCCAAAGTCTATTTTGTGTGTTGTGATGACCTGCTGCATGCTTGAGCACTGAAGCACGATGTCCTACCCAAGCCTCATCCACAAAGCCCAACGCAAAGCTGGAAGCCAGTTGCAGGAGCCCCGAAACATGCCCAGCCTCCGCAGGTCCGTCACGGCCTGTGCAGGACCGGACCACATACACAGAACTCAAACAGCCAACATGCAAGCCCGCGCACGGAGGTTGCCTAAACAAAGGATGTATCTACAACCAAGAGGTGATTTAGACAGAAAAAGACCTCATTCTTGAGATGGGACTCTCCCAAAAGGCCTCGCGGAAGCGTGCGGCGGCCAAGTTGGCGGCGTCAAGAGCCGGCGACTGTGTCGAGGCTTTGGGGTCCCACCAAAATGGGGTTCGCGCTTTAGGGCAGAAGGTTCGGATTCAGGGTGCAAGGTTTAGGGGGCGTAGGGCTGAGGCTAGAAGGATCAATGTAGAGGACTCCGGGAAAAGTCCACACACTTGGGGTTCCCTGCTCTTCGGCTATCGCTTGGGGCCCCTGGCTTACCAGAAGGCGGCAGGTTGCGCCTCGGGCAAAGGGCCCAGCGCCCTCACGTACCTTGGCATGTCGATCGGCACTCTGGCGCTTTTGGGAGGCCGAGGTTCAGATGCAAGTCGTAGCGTTTAGGGGCTTTAGGGTTCACCCCACAAACCGCAAGGACAGTGACCCCCTGATTGACAAAGCCTACCAGGCCAAAAGCGGCAACCCATCAACTCGAAAGTTTCTGAACCCCAAACCTCCAAAACTCCCCAAGTCACCCCTCCGCCCTGTCTTCCGCCAACTCATCGGCGTTGGCCTCGCGCGTGAGGCTTCCTCAGCCAGGCGGGATGGTTCGAGACGCTGGCTGGGTGGAGGAAGGTAAAACAACCCCACTCCACCAGCCAAGTCGCCGATGAGATCCGTGAGTTTGCGCTCCACAGCTTCAAACTCACCTAGGCAGCTGGAAGAGGGGGTGGGTGTGACCAACCAAGTCCGAACCGAAGCTTTGAAACAACCCTGAAATACCCTGAAAAGATTCTGAAGAACCCTGAAACCCTTCTAGCGCCTCTTGTTGCAGCTTTGGCGACTGCGTGGCGCGAAGCCATCTTCGATGGCAGAGCGGATGATCTCGACCAGGTCCTCCAGACGCACCTGCGCATTTGCAAGCATGTTTTCGCGCTTCACCTGTACGACGCCCCACGCCCCCCCCCCCAGTGCGGTCTACACTTGTCTTTTCCCCAAGAGGAAGGGTACCCATTTTTGTGAGCTGCGCGTTGCTGTTCCCTAAGCCCCAAATTTCGAAAATCCTCAATCCCCCTCGTGGCCCTAGAAGCCCGAAGAAGCCCCTTAAAGAGGCCGCACCTCGGCAGCTGCGGCGGCCGCCCGGAGTCGGGAGGCATGCCTCTCATGCGGCTGGAGTTTGGGGCTCTTGGCGGTTGGGGCACCCCAACGCCCTGGTTGGAGTGGAGGGCTTTGGGGGATTTAAGGTTTCGGTCCCACCTCTGCTCGACCAGCTGCTGGTGAAGCCGCGTCATCTCGTCGAACTGGCCAGGACTCCACTCTTGAAAGCCTCGGAAAAGCGCTCTTAGGGGGTTGCAGGGCTGCTGGGGGAACAGGGGTAGTTGGGGAGAGGGGGGGGGGGGAGGGGGGACCGTACATTCCTAGATTCCTAGATCCCAAACCATGCGGCTCAAGGAGCAACCTTGGTGAGGCTTCAGGGTCTGAGGGCTGTGTCGGAACTCTTCAGGGCTGTACTTCCGGAAATCCTCCCCACCTGCGGCTCCAAAGCGTTCCAAGATTCACCGCCAAAGCCCCAACACCCAGAAGCCTCAGCCCCCCTCCGTGCAACCTCGAAAACACTCCAAACTCATAGTCTGCAAACCCCTTAAGCCCTAAACCCTAAACCCTAAATCACACTGCGGCCCGGAGCACCGACCGCCGCGGCCTCCCGCAGCGCCGCGCCAAGGGGCGCCGCCTCGCCAGCACAGCGCTGTAGCTCCTCCTGGGCCTCGGGCTTTTGGAGGTTCAGAGGATAGGGTTTAGGGGTTTAGGATTTAGGGTTTAGGGTTTGGGGTTTAGGATTGCGGGTTTAGGGTTTAGTAGGGTTTAAGGCTACAGGCTTTTTCTGTCAAGGCCTCGATGCATGTCGCAAACCTACTGCACATGCTGAGCTGTGGAGAACTCGGCTACTCAAGCTTGTCACCCAATCCAAGCCCCTCAACCCAGAAACTCTGCACCAGAAACCCTCAAAATCGTAAACCCTGAAGCCTATTCCCCATAATCCGCATCCAAGCTGCGGCGACGAGCTGGAGACGTTTCCGCTGCAGCTCGTCGACAAGAGTGTCCTACAACAGTCAGCTGAGCATTGAAGGTTTGGAGCCTGCGGTCTGGGGTTTGCGGGCTTCGGAGTTTTCCTTGAACTGGGAGTTTGGGACTTGATTGATTTGGGGTTTAGGGGGCCCTTCAACCTGAGAAGTCTCCTCCAAATGGCATGCGAGTGCGCGGTCCAGGGCCTCACAAAGCTGTGGCAGGGTCCTGCCCGAATTTGAGGAGCTGCGGCCCGAGGAGCTTAGGCTTTCGAACTTTGTTGAGGGGGCTGAAGGGGGCTTCATAGCTTCCAGCCTTAAAGCTCATGCCTACTGAGAAAGAGTGGATGCTGGCCATGGGCCGGCGCAGCCGTGGCGTGGTCGGGCTGCGGGACCATGAGCTGGAGAAGCAGGACATGGATTTCATGCATTCCCTGTACTGGTGACAGTAGAAGCAGCCACAGAGAACAGAGGGGGGATGTGCAATGTCGCTTATACTGTGTGTTATTTTACTTCCAACTCCATTAGCTGCATTAGTCAAGCGCGGACTCAATGAAATTCGTGGTTCTGCACACGACTGAATGTCGGTTCTTGCCAGCTTCAGCGCCATTGAGGCGATTTGTACCACAGCTGATGGATATAGACTCGGACAGTGCACCCCCCCCCACTTGTTCTGCATCGTTACTATATTGCATTTGTTCCTTTGGCACGGGCCAGCGGAGGCGAAGAAACCGAACAGGCACGCGTGACTTAAAAATCCTCGAGAATCGTAGCATTTCTCGTTTTCTTTATAACCAGAACAAACAGAATTCATTTGGCCGAGGCAACTCTTTCTTCAACCCCAAACACTAGGCCCTCGGCCGCTTCCTCTCTTCAGACAACCCCTGTAAGGAACCCCCAAGCCCTCAAACCTTAAATCCCCCAAGGAATCCCCCCAAAGGAATGCCCCCCCTAAACCCCAAACACCTTGACCCCTGTCCTTGCCCTCTCGGCCCGCTTCACGGCCTCACGGGCCTTGGGGGGGAGGGAGGGGGGGGGGGGGGGGGAGGGGGGGGGGGGGGAGGGGGGGGGGGGGGGGGGGGGGGGGGGGAGGGGGGGGGGGGGGGAGGGGGGGGGGGGGGAAGGGGGGGGGGGGGGGGGGAGCGAGGCTTAGGCTTTCAGGGTTGAGGGTTGAGGGTTTGGGGTTTGAGGGCTTGGCCATCAAGGCTTAAGGCTTTAGGACTTTAGGGTAGATGAGAAAAGCTCAAGCTCCAACATTTGGAGGCAACGCAACGCCCACCTGAATCCCTTGCTTGCTGGCTCTTACAGGTGCAGCACCTGCTCTTAAACTTCTGAAAATCGGAACCATAAGTCATAAACCCAACAGCATGGACCCTGGAAACCTGCTGAGAAACCTCTTCCCACTGTACCGGAACTTGTTTATTCTCCGTCCGCCTGCTCGAGGTCGGTCTTCCGGCGGAAGTCCATCCTCGTCAACTCATCCTTGGTCAGCTGAGGTCTGAGGACTTCGGATGCGTCCAGTTGCTGGAGGAACATTGGCTCTGGGCTTTTGACGTCTAAGGGTTGATGGTTTCAAGGCTTAAGGCTTAACATTCAACGGCAGGGTTCAGAGTTTCGAAAGCCAGTTAGGCCCAAAATTTGCACATGTCGATTCAACCGCGAACACCTGAAGCCACCAATCTGCAGCCTGGTGGCTGGAACTGCCAAGCCTTCCACGAAAGACGTGGCATGGTCAGGGCTTTGCTTGCTATGCCCATGGGGCAGTTGCCAATTTCTTGCTGTGGTGGGTGCCTGGAGCTTTGCAAAGTTGACGATCGAACAATTGCCCACTCTACACCTGGCACCTGTGGCTCAAACATCTTTCTCCGGGGCGGCCGATTTAAGATGCGTGCGTCCCTGTGCCACACAACATGTACTACGTACTTGGCCAAAAAACAAAATCGCATAATCTATGAAATTACGTTTCTAAAACTGAAAATCTTCAATTTGGGCCTCAATTAGGGCCTCAATTACCTCGGTATCTGTTTCGTGTTCGAAATTTTGAAAAGTTTTGTTTTGTCTGTTTCGCTTCCTGATTTATCCCCTTTGACATATGTATTTGTCAATCAATTTGGTAGAACGGGAAATGCTGGAGGCTTGGCTTTTCAAAAAATTTTAGCGCTTAGAACTGGAGTAGCTTGTTAAAAGGTTCCAGGTTGTGTATTGGGACATTTTACTGTTGAAGCTTCTTATTTTTGAGGTGAATGCAGGTTGTCACTCTTGCTTGTGGACAAGCTGGAAAAGAAGTGCAAATCGGCATGATTTCAACCGGTTCGCGGAATATGGTAACAGGTATCCACAAGTGCCGGCTACGCGTCCGAACCGCCAACCGCCAAAAATTGAAGCGGCATTGTCGGAGAAGGTGGCGCAGCGAGGTGCCATGAGTTTTGATGGGCAGCAGGGGTGTGTCTTTCTGGCAGTGGAGGTGCATGACTGCCAGCAAAAACAATCGCCGGGGCAAAGTTCAAAAGGATCCTACAGATCCTAAGTCCTCCATAAGGCCTGTTTGTGCGGCGGACCAACTTCACAAAGCGAACTCCTCTACAGCACGTAACAGGTGCTTGATCCACTTTGTGCGAACACCCGGCAGCAGACGAAGCCTTGAATCGAACCCCGCCAAAACCCTCAACAACCCCTACGCCCAAGCGACGCATCCCAAGGCCCCAAGGATGCATCCGGAGACCTTCAACTTTGGAAGTTGCAGCCAGCTTCAGCCGCACCACTTGAGGCATGCGCTTGCCTGCGGGGGCGACTTCTTGGGGTTTTTGGGGCTCTCGGGGGGCAAGGAGCTTGGGGCTCAGGGGCGAGGATTCGCTTCGCTGAGCCCGAAACCCCCACACCTGGAAGCCAAACCCAAAACACCGGAATCCGATAGCTTCGTGCGCCTGAGGTGGGCAGCTTCCCTCCTGCGCACCGCTCAATATCAGAGCTTAAGCCACAAACTCTGAACCACTGGACCTCTGGAGGGTTGAAACAACTCTGCAAGTTTGGGGTTGAAGGCATGAGGGATCCTGGATCTCAGGGTTTGGAAGTTTGGGGATTCAGGGTTCTGAGTTGGGGCATCAACATCCAAGAGCCCCAGCCATCCCCAGCCCATAGATTGCAACACTTAACTCCTTGACCCGCAGCCTATCCTCAACCCTATAAACAAAGACATCCCCGACATGTCGGCCAATGCAGCTCCTTCGCCATAACTCTTACACCAGCTACGGATCATCTTTTCAAGCTGCTCCTGACAGCAATGCGGTGAAGAGCTTAGGGGTTTACAGAGGTCCAAGGGGCGAACTATTTACATGGAGGTTAGGGTATATCAAGCTTGCTGGCTGTTGCGGCCTCAAGTGTCATGTCGGGGCTAGACGCGTTAGGCTGGCGTAGGGACCCTGAGACCTCACCCTTTGGTAGAGTTCAAGGGTTCAGGGGTTCAAGGTTGAAAGGTTCGGGAGTTAGAAGCAGGCCACCGGGTAACATCTGGGGGTTCGGGGGTTCGTGAGTTCGATGCTTAAGGCTTTGGCGGCTTGGGGATGGCTTCACCGGGTTCTCATGTGTGGGGCCCAAGATAACGCTCAAAAGCCGAAACCCGAAGCTGTTCTCTAGGGGTAGGCGAGTAATATAGGGGCCTGAATAATTAGAATAGGGTCTTGGGGGCTATTATAGACCATAAGGGAGTATTATTTGTACTTGTTCCCAGCCCTACAGTAGGCTCCGTGGTCAGCGGCTTCTTGGCATCTCCCAGCTTGAGCGGCTCCCCACCGCGCTCGCGCTGCAGCTGCGTCACCTCGGCTCCGCTGCCTTTTCTGGGCTTGTTTGGGATTTGGGGTGCAGGATTCTAGGCCTTCTCGACCTGAAAGTAATTCCATGGCCTAACCAGAACCTGCAGAGGGATGCAAACACCATCTGAAACCCCGGACGAGTGAACCCTGAGCGTTTCAACTGTTCGCTACTAACCCCTATTAAACCTAAACCCTAAACCCTAAACTCCAAACCCGAAACCCTAAACCCTAACCAGGAGAGCCTAGCTGCGCCGAAGATGTCACGTCCCAACTCGAGCTGGAAGGCTTCTTCGGGAACAGAGGCAGGGCCCACCTCTCTAAGGGCTGAGGCAATCGGGGTTAGGGCTTGGGGGTTCAGGATTTAGGGTTTAGGTTTCATGCCCCAAAAAATTGACCTCACGAGTCGAGAGCCCTTAGCCC